GCGGAGTGGAGTGGGAATATATATTTGTTTACGATTGCAGTTTTCCTGCCTTTTGAGGAAAATTTTTTTTCTCACTCGCCGAATGTCAAAGGATGGGAGATTTTTTTTCTTTCACTCGATATTGTATTCCTCGCGTTTAACGAGGCGTTTATCTGCATCGTATCGTGAAACAATACATGCTCGAGATTGTTTATCACGGCGGATACGGGTGATCGAGGAGAAAGGGACGGGGGGAATGGGGAAAAACAATATGGCATGATCGATATTTATAACTGTAGTTTTTTTTAACAGTTATGGGGGAATTGTAGATCGGGAAATTGGAAGGGTCTGGTTGGTACCTAGGGTTGTGGTGGTGGTAATTTTTTATGGTTAATATCTGGTGAATGAGTGGGACTGGTTCAATGAATCTAGTCTTTTGAGGATTGAATTGGAGCTTTGACCCAGGTAGGAATTATATAGGCTGACGATGGAAATGAGCCTGTGCAAGCCTAGGTTTGGCGAGGGTCAGTGACTCAGGCCTGGAACGGGCTTGATTTCATCGTTCAGGCGAGCCTGAAATGACGGCGATTCAAGGGGCCATTGCCGAGGTTCAATTCAGCCGTAGTCCAGGCTTTGAGTATTGAGGCTCAGTACGTCAAGGCTTATTCGAGCCTCTGCAAGGCCTCAAAGATGAAAGTTAGTTTCGATTACATTCCTTAATTTTTATATCGATCAACGTTTCTGATGCTAATGAAACATTCGGAGGCAAATGTCGAAATAAAAAAATTTTTTTTTCACCTGGGGCCGAAGTGTCATCTTGGATTTTTCAGGGGAAAGTCGACTTTCGTCAAAAACGAATTTTTCCGCCGAGTGAACGTCGATTCTGTATTTTCTGGCCCGCCTAATGCCACTGCGCCCCTCACTTGCCCCAGAAATGCAGAAATAAAAAAAAAAATTTTCACGTCGAGCCAAAGTGCCATATTTACTACTCTAACAACAGGTTTTACGCTTTCATTGTGGTTTAGGAATCCGTGTAATTGCGGAAAATGTCCTAGGTAGACATGATTGAGGTTTAGTGAGCAGTCACGTGTCCCTCAACTGACCAACTCTGCTGGGAAAAATTCAATTTCCATCGAGTATTCATCAATTTCGCAATTAAAAATTCTCCCGATATCGACTTTAATTAACACATATTTTGATATACCCCGGAATGAATACAAATTTTATCGGAATTTAGTAAATATTCGAGTTTATCCCCTTGACCAGAAAGAAAAATAGAATAAATGGAAATTAGGTTCACTAAAGTATCGAATAATCCGTGACCAATTGAATTGACACAGCATTCAAAGGGAAACCGAAATTGAAATAAATTTTCTCTCTCTGAGGTGGTGCGAATCAAGTGGTCGAGCTCAACAAACGAGTGGTCTTGAATCGCTTTTAGATCCATAACCCCACGCACTGAAAACGATAGGGGAAAATCAGCCTCTGAACAGATTATTTTTGCCCAGAGAATAAAATGGCTCTTTATTCGATAAAAAAAAGAATCGTTAGGTGTTGATAAATCCGTTTCAATGAATAAATTTATCATTATTTATTCATTCATTTATTTATTTATTCAATGTGAACAGAAATTCAAAAATAATTTTTTTCAATTTTTTTGCAAATAAATCGAAATTCATTTTGAATAATTTTTTTTTATTATAAGTTTTTCGAAAAAATTAATTTCTTGAATTCAAAAAAAATTTGGCGAAAACTTATGAAACAAATGAATTAATGTTGAAGTAAGTACCTCCCGAACAGTGAATTTTCCTCCGCTTGTCTGAATTTTTCTGCAACGGATGATTTTTTCTTTTACCAAAACACAACAGTAAATTTTCACTCTCGTCTATTCCCCCGTCATTCGCATCGTTGCCGAAAAAAAAAACGAAACAGATGCGGTAAATTTTCCTCCATATTCGGCCGTAATTTTTCCATCCCACAGATGTCATTTCGTATCATAACAAATCGCAAGATATCCTCCACAAAAATCCTGTTTTATTGAAAAAAAATCGCTCCGCAATTTCCTACTGTACATTAAAAATTTCCAGATAATTTTTCCCCAACTTTTCCCTCCGCGTTGTGGTGGAGTTGAAATACCCCTGAGAAAACGTGAAATATCCCCGACAAGAGGGAATTCATCCTCAACATTTTTTTCGCGTACAGCGCCATTCATTAAACACCCTTTTGTCCACGATTCCATTATCTCACCAAAGTAATAAACAAATACAGAAATAAATACACGTGGGTTACGGTTCGAGTGTTATCCCAGTATGATCTATGTTCAACTTTACAATGAACAGTTACGTATCCAGGGCCCATGTACTCACGGATGCATTCATACAATATACGCAATGTATTTACGTTTATACAGGTACAAGGCGTACCTCGCGACCAACGACAATGATCATCCGGTTGAGTTTATCGACTTTGGGGGGCTGGTGAGGGTAATATCTGGCTAGTACATGACCAGAGTAAACAATAAGCCCTGTGCATCCCTCCCCCCCGCCTCTCCTTCCCCGGTTCCTCTCTACGCACTCCACATACACGCTCTAACCAACATTTCTGTGTCTCTTGTGTCCATTAGCATACAACCATAACCGCTAAGGTCTAATTTCATCGCGCCTGCGTTTCAGTATTATCTCGAGGGAATACTTGAGACACACGTCAAATGATTAATTAGCCCTGATATCAACGGAGGAAATAGAGTTTTTGGTTTACACACGGAGAGAAATATTCAATAAAAATTACGTATCTTTTCCGTAATTCCGGAGCGAAATGTTGTTGTAGGAAATTTTACGGAAATTGTCACGGAATTTTTCCAGAACGTTCCGTAATTTTTAATGAAAATTTCTCTCCGTGCGGAAATTGGCGCTGGACTTTTGACAAAATTTAGCTGAATTTTGGGGACAGGAAATTCGATTTAAGGGGAAGAGACGCGCAGAGAGAAATACTGGATAAAAATTACGGATTTTTTCAGTAATTCCGGAGCGAAATGTGGTTGTAGAAAATTTTGCGGAAATTGTCACGGAATTTTTGCGTACAATCACGGATTTTTTTCAGAGGTTTCCGTAATTTTTAGCTGAATCTCCTGTGGAAAATTAGGATAGCGGCAATTAAATCTTCTGAGTCGATTCCGCAATCCGTGGAGAAAGAGTCAATGGAATTTCAAGTTTCTCTAAAAATTCAAGTAAAGTTATAATTTTTTAGTGGCACGTGACCAAAATTTCACGATTTACGTGAATTTTCAAGTGAAAATAAAATTTCCCCGGGATTTTCAGGGAATATCATTGAAATTGATTGGAATTCCGGGAATTTTCACGAAGTTCTTTGAGTTTTCCAGATTTTTCATTAATTTTCCTGGCATAATTGAAAGAAAATTTGCAGTTCCCCTGGATTTTTTCATGAAATTATGAATTTTCAATGACAGAATTCCTTGTAATTACATTCTTCCTAAATTTCGAATTTTTCCTTCTAAATCTCCAATCCTAAATCGGAATATCATCCCTCACCTTCAGTGATTGAATCCATTTGATTCAAATAAAGTTCATTCAACCCAAACAAATCACCATCTAAAAATTACGAATACACCCCTAAAAACTATTTTTCCCACTAAAACTTTACCCTCTAAATACCAAATACTATAAAACTTTATTTTATTTTCCCCCAAAGCTCCCAAAAAATTCCACCACCAGCATTTCCACCCCTAAACCGAAAGAATACCACCAGTTAACGCCAAAATAAAAAATTTCCCCCGAACCCAATCATATTCGCACTTAAACTAAGCCCTGAATTTTCTATGTTCACAGATCGGCGATACAGTCGTCAGTCCCAAACCCCCAACATGTGGATAACATCCGCAGCATAACAAGGTGGAGATCGAAGTCAAGAGGACGACCTCGTCTTCTGAAAATCCTCGAATCCCCCCTCCCTCCCTCCCTCCCCCCACCCTCGTTTCATCCGTCCTCGCGCGTCTCCGAGCGTTTTCAACCCCCTCACTGTTGGTCACCAACCCTCCATCTTTTTCCACCAAGCTCAGCCGTTTCGATTTCCCGAGTGTCTCT